ACAGCTCTTTGTATTTGCAGTGATCATTAGCAGACAACAGCTGTCCCCAGAGGTTACTGAAGCCTTTCTTCACAGATACGATCTGAAATGACAACGGACAGGCGAGAAAATCAATAGTACAACCCCTAAGCAGCGGTGGCATGATGTCTATGATCACAGATGAGACATCATCATCCCCTTTGGCATGTGGAGATGGAGAAAGATCACATTCACTGTGGGTTCAGGATTGCCTTGGGTTTCAGCTTAAATAATTGGATTACAGCATCACTGATGCCGTGGTGATTTATATGCAGGTGGCTGAGACTCTTTGGGTCAGCTATCAGCCAATAGATCATATTTGATGATCTATATTATTTGCGTTTGGGGTGTGAAATAATATTTTCAGTTTTTAATTCATTTTATTTCCAGGCCGTGTACAGGTTTCTACTGTAGGACACAAACAAGTTTTTTTAAGTTAGACTTTCCAACATTAGCACATTAAAAAAGGTCGGTAACTTTGGAACAGGCTCGTGGAGAAACAGAGCCAGTAATTCTTCAACGCTGTGCCAGCAAATGATTAAACAACCAAACACGCTATAAATATTGCATCAGCATTTCCACACAACATTTGGGAAAGTGTTTAATATTAAGCCTATAACACGATGAATGGAGTTTATGTAGCTGCGTTTATTTTGTTATGTCTGCAGAGGCCATAAATAGAACATTAGGATGCAAGGTCGCCTTTATTTTGAAAAATTCCCAAACTGACACAGTGTTAATGTTCTGGCTTTAATAAAACTTTATGTGGTGTTCCTCCTCTTGGAAGGCATGAAGTTCAAAGAAGGGAAAAAGGTGTCACAAAGCGTAATTGCTTTTATTTCACAGCTTTCTGTGGAAGCACACACTGGGCACGACTGAAGATTTTGATGAAACACATTTCAAAGCTGCTCCGTTGAGTCAACGCTTCAGGAATGGTTATTGAATCGTTCGCTTTCCGATGACTCGCTGCGTCTGTAGTCGAGGCCACAAAGTAGCGATTCTGTTCTTCCACTCGTTGGTCTGGTCAAAGTGAAAGTAAAGGTCCGAGAGTCGCTGAGAAAATAGTTGCAGTGTGAGCCTTTAATGTTTGCACTATATTTTACAACATTTCCTACTTTCCTTTCCTGCAGATTGAAGGTATAATCTCTGCTTTTCTTTGTCTTTCAGAGAAAGAACGCCCACCTGCTGCTGAACGTGTTTCTGCTGGCAGCGTGGGGATTCTTCCTATTGGCCTGTCGCTTCTACTGGATGGGCAACAAGCCTCCAAACTTCTCCAACTCTGACAACCCAGCGGCTGACTCGCCCTCGCTCATCACCAGGACCCTGACCTTCTTCTACCTTCCTGCTGTTAACTTCTGGCTCCTCCTCTGCCCAGACACGCTAAGTTTCGATTGGTCGATGGACGCCGTGCCTCTGATCAGGAGCCTTGCTGACTGGAGGAACTTTCATACAGTTGTCTTCTATTCTGGTCTGTTGTTGCTAGCTTGGTTCGGCTTGTGGACACATCGCGCACCG